GGGCTTCCCAGGTGGCTCAGTGGTCAAGAATCCACCTACCAATGCAGGAGACACAGATTCGATCCATGGGTGGGGAAAGATCCCTTGTAGAAGGAAACAGCAACTCACTTGCCTGGGAAATCTCATGGCCAGAGGAGCCTGGCGGGCTACAGTCCAGGGGCTTGCAGAAGAGTCTGCCACAACTTAGTGACTAAACAACAAACTCTGTGTTGCTTCACCATCTCTTGTAGCTTCTCAAGTCTTCAATCACCCACACAACCAATTCTCTGCATTAAAGTCCCTCTATGCAGAAAACTATAAAACATTGATGAAAGAAATCAAAGAGGACACAAACAGATGGAGAAATATACCGTGTTCATGGATTGGAAGAATCAATATTGTCAAAATGGCTATACCCAAAGCAATCTATAGATTCAATGCACTCCCTATCAAACTACCAACGGTATTTTTCAGAGTTAGAACAAATAATTTCACAATTTGTATGGAAATACAAAAAACCTCGAATAGCCAAAGTAACCTTGAGAAAGAAGAATGGAACTGGAGGAATCAATCTGCCTGACTTCAGACTATACTACAAAGCCACAGTCATCAAGACAGTATGGTACTGGCACAAAAACAGAAATATAGATCAATGGAACAGAATAGAAAGCCCAGAGATAAATCCACGAACCTATGGTCACCTTATCTTCGACAAAGGAGGCAAGGATATACAATGGAAAAAAGACAACCTCTTTAACAAGTGGTGCTGGGAAAACTGGTCAACCACCTGTAAAAGAATGAAACTAGAACACTTTCTAACACCATACACAAAAATAAACTCAAAATGGATTAAAGATCTAAATGTAAGACCAGAAACTATAAAACTCCTAGAGGAGAACATAGGCAAAACACTCTCCGACATAAATCACAGCAGGATCCTCTATGACCCACATCCCAGAATTTTAGAAACAAAAGCAAAAATAAACAAATGGGACCTAATGAAACTTAAAAGCTTTTGCACAACAAAGGAAACTATAAGCAAGGTGAAAAGACAGCCCTCAGATTGGGAGAAAATAATAGCAAACAAAGCAACAGACAAAGGATTAATCTCAAAAATATACAAGCAACTCCTCCAGCTCAACTCCAGAAAAATAAATGACCCAATCAAAAAATGGGCCAAAGAACTAAACAGACATTTCTCCAAGGAAGACATACAGATGGCAAAAAAAACACATGAAAAGATGCTCAACATCACTCATTATCAGAGAAATGCAAATCAAAACCACAATGAGGTACCATTACACGCCAGTCAGGATGGCTGCTATCCAAAAGTCTACAAGCAATAAATGCTGGAGAGGGTGTGGAGAAAAGGGAACCCTCTTACACTGTTGGTGGGAATGCAAATTAGTACAGCCACTATAGAAAACCGTGTGGAGATTTCTTAAAAAGCTGGAAATAGAACTGCCATATGACCCAGCAATCCCACTTCTGGGCATACACACCGAGGAAACCAGATCTGAAAGAGACACGTGCACCCCAATGTTCATCGCAGCACTGTTTATAATAGCCAGGACATGGAAGCAACCTAGATGCCCATCAGCAGACGAATGGATGAGGAAGCTGTGGTACATATACACCATGGAATATTACTCAGCCATTAAAAAGAATTCATTTGAATCAGTTCTAATGAGATGGATGAAACTGGAGCTCATTATACAGAGTGAAGTAAGCCAGAAAGATAAAGACCATTACAGTATACTAACACATATATATGGAATTTAGAAAGATGGTAATGATAACCCTATATGCAAAACAGAAAAAGAGACTCAGATGTATAGAACAGACTTGTGGACTCTGTGGGAGAAGGCGAGGGTGGGATGTTTTAAGAGAACAGCATCGAAACATGTATATTATCTAGGGTGAAATAGATCACCAGCCCAGGTTGGATGCATGAGACAAGTGCTCGGGCCTGGTGCACTGGGAAGACCCAGAGGGATCGGATGGAGAGGGAGGTGGGAGGGGGGACCGGGATTGGGAATACATGTAAATCCATGGCTAATTCATTTCAATGTATGACAAAAACCACTGTAATGCTGTAAAGTAATTAGCCTCCAACTAATAAAAATAAATGGAAAAAAAATAGTTGTCTAAAGCAAAAGAAAAATAAATAAAGTCCCTCTAGGCAAAAGGAAGGGGGACAGAAAGGAAGAGAAAAATGGTTCTAGGCCTTTCTTTTCTGACTATACAGTACCCACTGTCCAGCTACCACTAGGCTCATCTCATAATGGAAAAGAAACTGTAATCATAAGTCAACTTTCTAGATCACTTGTACAAACCCATCCTTCTCAAATTGGAGCAATTCTTCTTTATATTACATGGGTATGCCAGGATAATTTATGTAAAACCTCAAGATAAGCATGTCATATTTTTCTGTTGTGTCTATAGTGATTTTAAAAATTACTTGTACATTAAATTTTTTTTTGACATTATTGACTACGCCAAAGCCTTTGACTGTGCGGATCACAACAAACTGAGGAAAATTCTTAAAGAGATGTGAATATCAGACCACCTTACCTGCCTCCTGAGAAATCTGTATGCAGGTCAAGAAGCAAGTTAGAACCAGACATGGAACAGTAGACTGTTTCCAAATTGGGAAAGGAGTACGTCAAGGCTGTATGTTGTCACACTGCTTATTTAACTTACATGCAGAGTATATCATGTGAAATGCTAGGCTGGATGAAGCACAAGCCGAAATCAAGATTGCTGGGAGAAATATCAATAACCTCAGATATGCAGATGACACCACCCTTATGAGAAAGTGAAGAAGAACTGAAGAGCCTCTTGATGAAAGTGAAAGATGAGAACTTTAAAAAAAATTTTTTTTTAAATGCCTAGACAACATATTAAAAAGCAGAGACATTACTTTGCCAACAAAGGTCTGTCTACTCAAAGCTATGGTTTTTCTAGTAGTCATGTGTGGATGTGAGAGTTGGGACTATAAAGCTGAGCTCCAAAGAATCAACGCTTTTGAACTGTGGTGTTGGAGAAGACTCTTGAGAGTCCCTTGGACAGCAAGGAGATCAAGCCAATCAATCCTAAAGAAAATCAGTCCTGAATATTCATTGGAAGGACTGATGCTGAAGCTCCAATACTTTGACCACATGATGTGAAGAACTGCATCAGTGGAAAAGACCCTGATGCTGGGAAAGATTGAAAGCAGGAGGAAAAGAGGACAACAGAGGGTGAGATGGTTGGATGGTATCACCAACTCGATAGACATGACGTTGAGCGAGCTCTGGGAGTTGGTGATGGACAGGGAAGCATGGCATGCTGCAGTCCGTGGGGTCACAAAGAATCAGACACCACGGAGCGACTGAACTGACTGAATGTACATTAAAACAAACCACAAGGGTACTGTCAATTCAATGGGGAAGAGCCTTCAATAAATGGTGTTGAGACAAGTGGATATCCTTCCACATGCAAAGAATGAAATGAAACCCCCTATCTCATATCAAATACAAAATTTAACTCAAAATGAACCACAGATGTAATTTGAAGAACTAAAACTACACAATTCTTAGACAAAAGCATATGCATAAACCTTGACCTTGGATTAAGCAATGGTTTCTTAAGTAATGACACCAAAGTAGTAACAACTGAAGGAAAAAAATATACCTGACTTCCTCAAAATTGAACTTTTGTACTTCAAAGGACATTGTCAAGAAAGTGAAAGGACAATCCACAGAATGGGAGAAAATATTTACAAATTACATCTAATAACTTATTCTTGCCTGGAGAATCCTAAGGACAGAGGGGCCTGGCAGGCTACAGTCCGCGGAGGTCACAAGAGTCGGACATGATTTAGCAACTAAACTACCACCACCACCAAGTGATCTGCATCTAGAACATACAAAGGAATCTTATAACTCGTAGAAAAATAACAAATAACCCAATTAAAACCTAGGGAAAAAAAAAAAAAACTAGGCAAATTATACCAACAGACATTTCTCTAAAGATGATACATAAATGGCCAAAATCATAGGTCATCATCAAAATGCAAATCAAAACCACAATGAAATAGTTGTCTGGGCAGAATATGGGAAAGTAAATTAACTGCAAAGAGGTATGAAAGAACTTTCAGGGAAGAGCGAAATGTTTTACATCTTGACTGATGGCTCAGATGGTAAAGAATACGCCTGCAACAAAGGAAATCTGGGTTCAATCCCTGAGTCGGGAAGATTCCCTGGAGAAAAGAATGGCAACTCACTCCAGTAATCTTGTCTGGAGAATTCCATGGACAGAGGAGGCTGGTGGGCTACAGTCCATGAGGTTGCAAAGAGCTGGACGTGACTAAGCAACTAACACTTTCACTTTGAGGCATATGTATTTGTCAAAAATCATCAACCTGTACACTTAAAATCCATGAATTTCATATTTTACACATTTGGAAGGGTGCACTTATTTTGATATGCTTGTTAAGAACTGTGGGCTTCACAGAAAAACACTGTTTTGGCTGCTAAAACATAGAATGTTCATATTAAATGTTGTTATTGTAGTATTATCAATGCTAACTTTATATACTACCATAACTACACTGAGCAATTACATTTAGCAAATACTGAATAACTACAAAAGTCATCTCACAAGAAACTATTTTGCTGATAAAAATTTCTAGGAAATTGGTGACATCTCAATAGCTTATTTCCTAGGATCTTTACACCAACAATTCTGTTCTATCAGTATTAGTTGTGTGAAATTACTTTGTCTAACTGCTCAAAAATAGCTGAAATTCATAGCTGTTGAAAGAAAATCTCTTGGATTATCCATGTATCACTTACCAAAGGGGAAAAAAACCACCAATGGAGCTTTCTTCTTTAAATATTCCTTTGATACTTCTGTAAATTATGCTACAGATACACTGTACTAACAAAACATTTGAAGCAAGCAAAAATATCAAATTCACAAGTTCAATTTAAAAACAAAAACATTTCCAACAATGCAATAGAAAAAGTTTCCCTTACCTCAGCATCATCATCATCAGAATCATTCCCAAACACTGAAGGTTTTTGCAAAACAGGGTGCAACTGCTGTGCTTTCTTTGGCAAAATAAGCCCATACCTGCATATTTTTTGTTTTGAAATAGAAATTACACCATTATATTTAAATGTTAAAACACTAATACATCCACTACCTCTTCCGGAGGAAGCTACCAAGTCAAAACATGTCACAGAACTTATGATCACATAACCCTGGTTCTGATTTTCAACGATCTAAAAGCTTCAAAATGCACTAAGATTTTTAAACTATTATTCTACGTTAAAGAAGAGAAGTGAATGAAGAGTTCGGAAGTTGTAGATAGTGAAACAATAAGGAAAGTTAAAAAAAAAAAAGTCAGTGGAAAGCTCAGTTGAGGTCCACTAAAAAGAAGACTCTAAATTACCTTGTGACCTAACAAGAGTCAAGAAAACATTCCCCCCGCCCCGCCCTTACTGGGTATATATCATTTTAAAGAAGTTATTAAATAAAGATTAATGTCATCCATTAAAATTTTTTAAAGATTACATTAATTGAGAAACCCAAGTAGTTATGGGGCAAATTCCCATTACATTTTATAAAGCTCACGTGCTTTGTCTTGGAGCACCTGAAAGAACCATCCCATCAAACCCAACTCAATTGGTTTCTCACGTTTGGGCCTTTAAGATGCATATATAACGGGAAGCCGCATCACAACTGAGGATTTTACATTTAAGGTAAAGCTTCCAAAAACATATAACATTTCTCTTCTGCGGCAACGTATACCCCAATTCCCTATGTGCCTACCCTTTTTTGTGGCTTCTCAGCACAACATTCCTAAACCGAGAAGGGAGGGCGGGAATCAGAACTTGAGCTGCCAAGGAGAACAAGGCCCTCTAAAGCCAGGAATTGTCTCTCTTCTCATTTCCCCTGAAAGCATCCAACCGGGGAGAAACTCAAGCGCGGGGTAGGAAGCAAGACTGAGGGGCCTCAGACCGAGCTTTTGGAAAATAGAAAAGTCTCGCTCTCTGCCCCTCAGCCTAACTTCCTTTATTTCCTCACAAGTTTCTCCCTCAAACTTCGGGCTTCCATCCTGCAAAATGTGTGGGGGGATGGGAATATATGTTCCTCGGGATTTCTCGCTTTCCCCGCCTCTATCCCTGACGACACAGCCCCTTCACTTCCAGCGCACTTCTACTCCTCGGCCAAAGACACAGTCGCCGTAGTATCTCACTCCCCACTCTGACCCTAACTCCCGGATCACTCACTGCCTGCCCGGAATCGCCATCTTGCTCCCGTCTCCGCTGAACGTGGCCTACGCCGACGTAACGCTGATGCAGACGCTGGCGTCATCACGCGAATTCTCGCGGGGCTTTGGCCGGCCCAGAACTCGCCTAGCTCCTGGGTTTGACTTTGGGTTACTTCCGCATTGCTGGGAATGGAGTCCTTGGCTTTGGGAATTGTTTGAAAACCGACGGATTGCCTCGAAATCAGTGGTAAGAAAGGAATAACAACAACAACAAAAAGGAATAACAAAATTTTAGGCCAGTGGTTCGAAGAGTGTGGTCCCGGGAATTGGCATCCCCCGGCAATTTGTTAGAAATGGACATTTTCTGGCTCTGTTCCGTACCTGCGGAATCAGAAACGCTGGGATGGGCCCAGAAATCAGACTTTTAACAAGTCCACCAGATAATCATGATACTCAAGTTTGAAAACCACTACCCTAGGCTGTCGAGTGTTTTTTGTGTTTTTTTAACCCCTGAGGTGTTCAGCATAAGTATCCTGGATGGGAAAGATTCCCGGGAGGAGGAAATGGCAACCCACTCCAGTATTCTTGGCTTGGAAAATTCCATGGACAGAGCAGCCTGGTGGACTACAGTCCAGGGAATCGCAAAGGATCGGACATGACTGAGCAGGCACCCATTCCTGGCTTAGGGTAACTTGACAGAAGATGAAAATCCATACGCTAAGTATATTACTATTGGACAGTAGTGATGAATATCAATACTATATAGTGCCACTGGGTATAGAAAGTAAAATCATACATGATATTAAAAAAAAATTTAGTCACCATTTCACGTGTGAACCCACTCTTTGTCGGCCCATGCCAAACGTTGTACAGCAGTCGAAAAGATCTTGTGAACTGCCGACAGGACGTTTGAACCTCCAAGTGTAGTTGTGGATTTGTCTATTTCTCCTTTTACTCAGGTCAGGTTTTGTTTCACGTACTGCATTTTGAGGTTTTGTTATTAGACACTTGGGCTTCCCTGGTGGCTCGAATGATAAAGAATCTGCCTGCAATGCTGGAGACCCGGTTTCAACCCCTGGGTGGGGAATATCCCTTGGAGAAGGGAATGGCTACCCGCTCCAGTATTCTTGCCTGGAGAGTTCCATGGACAGAGGAGCCTGGCGGGCTACATCCTCGAGGTAGCAAAGAGTCGAAGGCGACTGAGCGACTAACTTTCCCTACTACATATTTAAACATTTAGAGTTGTTGTGTCCTTTTATGTTGACCCCTGTACCATTAAGAAATGATCCTCTTTATTTCTTTTTATCTACTTTATCTAATATTAGTATTTATAACCAGCATTCGTTTTTAGCATAGTATATGTTTTGCCATCCTTTTACTTTTAACCTATTTTAATCAATTTGTGTCTTTTCATATAATACATAACTTTTAATATAAAGTGGAACTCTTGTTGCTAGCATATTGTTGGGTGCTTTTTATCCATTATGGCAATTTTTTCCTTTTAAGTTGGTATTTAGAACATTTTCATTAACGCAAGTATTAGTGTAGTTGCAGTTTGTTTTTTCTTTTTCCTGTCTGTTCTTTGTACCCTCGTCTGCCACCTTCCCCTTGACTTTGGATTAATCAATAAATTTTTAGGACTTAGCTTAAGATTTTTATTCAACTTCTTTGTTGGTTTATTGGCCATACTTGGCTTTTTTTTTTTTTTGCCAAGGTTTTGCCTTAAGGTTTCTAGTATACATCTTTATCACAATCTATCTTCAAGTAACAATGTACCACTCAAAACTTTAAAAAGTTCACTTCCAATTTCCCTCTCTGAAACTTTGTGCTGTATTTTGTCATGCATTTTACTTGTAACAATGTTATAAATGCACAATAAATTATTATGTCTTTAAACAATTACCCTTTGAAAATATTTTTAAATAAGAAAAATATGTTATTCCACATGTTTACCATGTCTTGTTTCTTTGTATCTTTGTGTAGATCTTTGTATCTTTGTATAGTATAATTTTTTTTTTTTTAAGTAGGAAGGGGTGGAGTAGTGGAAGGAGGAATTAGATGAAGATGGTCAAAGGGTACAAAGTTCCAGATAAATAAGTATTTGGATATAATGTAGAACATGATTAATATAATTGACTTGCTATATGTTATATATGAAAGTTGTTAACAGAGTAAATCCTAAGAGTTCTCATCATAAGGAAAAATAGTTTTTATTTTGTATTTATGAGATGATGGATGTTCACTAAATTTACTGTAATCTTTTCACAATGTATATGTCAAATTATCATGCTATACACTATAAACTTATACAGGGCTGTATATTAATTGTATCTCAATAAAACTAGAAGAAAAAAGTTAAAAGAACCCACACATGTTCTATTAATTGTCAGAACAATGACATCATCACACATCAAGAAGCCTCTGGAAGGTTTTCTTGCACACTGCTGTGAGGGTGAGAGTGAAAAAGGCAAATAAATAATGTCGTAGCATTGTTAGAAATATAGTTTTGACCTGGAAAATCCCAAAAGTGTTTTAGGGACCTGCAGGTCCTAACCACACTTTAAGATCCACTCTTTTAAATGAATTAATGCTGAAACATACTATTATAGGAATTATATAACTTTGCATATAGGAATGTGCTGAATGTCTTTTTTCTTCCCCCAAAGTGATTAGGGTAAGGCCAGACAGAAGCCAGATAGGAAACCTTGGGGCACAGTGTAATAAAAGGATATATATACACACATACATGGACTTCTCTGGTGGTCCAGGGGTTGAGAATCCACCTGTCAGTGTAGGGTACACAGGTTCAATCCCTGGTCTGGGAAGATCCCACATGCCACGGGGCAGCTAAGCAAACGCCACGGCTACTGAGCATACACACTGCAGCTGCTGCAGCCGCAGGGCCCTAGAGCCTTGCTCCACAGCAAGAGAAGCCACTGTGATGAGAAACCCATGCACTGTAACTAGAGAGTAGTCCACACTCACCATGCAGCTAGAGAAAGCCCATGGACAGCGATGAAGACTCAGCGCAGCCAAAAATAAAAATGGAAAAAAAAAAAACAGAGAGAGAAACATATATTGCTTTCTGCCCTTGATTCCTGGTACAGATCTCCTAAAACCCTTGTGATTCCCTGAGTAATAAAAGCACGAAGAGCAACTTCTGTTTTGATATTTGATCTTTGACCCTGGTCCCTGGTTCTCTGGGTGATAGGGTTTTTGTTTCAGTGATGTAACCCTGGATAACATCAGATGGGAGCCTATCACCAGAGAGACCACACCGTAATTAGAAACTTGGAATTTTCTTTCTCACCCCTATCCTCAGGGAAGGGGAGAGGGCTTTTAAACCAAATTAATGATTGGTCTTGCCTATATAATGAAGTCTCCATTAAGAAAACCCAATATATGGAATTCTGAGAGCTTCTGGGTTGGTGAAAATATCCACCTGCCATGAGGATGGTGCACCCCAACTTGATGAGGACAGAAATACCCTTCTTGACCTCACCTATTTATCTCTTTCTGGTTGTTTACATGTATACTTTATCATACCCTTTATATAGTAAATGTGTCAGCATGAAAAAAATAATTATAAGTTACTACATGGCTAAGTCCTAAATAAGCATACATGATCACGATAATGCAAACATTGAATAAGCAGGTATTCTGATCTAAATTACAAGGTAGTTGGATAGAACAAAGGAGTAGGAAGTGTGTGTGTGGGGGGGGGGGCGATGCACACGGTGAGAAAGGAGCTAAATCTCTATTGCATTCTGGGAGGTTAATCCTGCCTAATTCAGGGAGAAAAAAAAAAAACCTGCCACATGGCATGTTATTTTGCAACGTGGAGGTGCATGTCAAAACTACAGCCAAAACAGGTTGGCAAACTTTTTGTGCAAAAGGTCAAGTAGGAAATCTTTAGATTTTACAGGTCAGAGGTCTCTGGCAGCTACTCAACTCTGCCCAGGGGTGTGAAAGGAGTCACAGACAATTTGGGCACGACTTTTCTGATAAAACTGTATACTGTCTAGATTTAGCTTGTCCTGTTTATTAACTCTTGAGCTAAAAGAATTGAAAATAGTTGACTCAGAAGCAAGGAAAATAGGGGTAAGGTGGAGCTGGGAAATGCTCTGGTTTTGACAGACCTTTTATGACAGAGGATTCCTTAAACTGAGCATGTGTTACTTTGCTTAAAATAAAAAGAATCAGAAAAGGGTAAATAATAAAGCCCCCCCCCCCCCCCGCCTGGGCTATCTGCTTCTTAAAGAGACTGGGTGGAGAATTAGTTACACAAAATTATAGGCTCGATGTCCTATATAATTTGAGCTTCTAAATTGGAATGTTGGATTCTGTATTCTCTTACTGCCTACAGGCTGTCGTAATGAAGCACTTGTGAGGTTTTCCCAAAGCTAGAGGGCTGATTTCTCAGTGTTGCAGAGTTTTGAGTTCTTCACTTAGTTGGCCTGGTTTGCAGCAAGGCTGGTAGTTGCTACAGTGGATCAGAGGCTTGAAGAAGTCTTCTAATATTTTGAACCTGTATTTGGGATCTTTAATGGGAGAAGTTGTAATGAGAGAAGCAGAGTAAGCCAGTACAAGGCAGCATCATCACTCTCATACTTCTGTTACACAGCAGAGAATTCTGTCTTAGACTTACAGAGATAAGATTTCAAGCACAGAACAGTCAACTAGACTTGGATGTGAGACAACTGTAGGACCCTCAGCACCCAAACTTAAGGATCTCGATTTAACTTTTTGACACTAGTATTACTTATCCCTACTCTTTCATTCTCTGCTTCCTTTTGTGCCCACTCTTCCCTAATCAACTACAGTTGACTCTAGAACAGCAGGTTTGAACTTCTTGGCTCTACTCACACATGGATTTTTTTTTTCAATAAATATGTACTAGATAACTACAGATCCGTGGTTAGTTGAATCCCCAGAGGCAGAAGGCTGACAAAAGTTGTACATCCATTTTTGACTGCACATTGGGTGGTTCACCCCTAACTCCTGTGTTGTTCAAGAGTCAACTGTACTCACTTTTCTCA